AACATTATGCTTCTTAACTCGTAGCAGCAATGTTTCACTGTGCAAGTGATGCTCAGAAGTTTTCCTGTCACGATCCTTAGAGCGGTGTTTTGCCAAGACTTCAACTGCATCTCGTTTGTTCCCGGGGTCCAGATGGTGCAGGTGCAGCATAGTTAACGACCGGCCAGCATTGTAGGTTGCCAGTAAGGTTTCTTTGACTTTACGCTTGGTTCCGCTGAAGCGTTTTGCGGCACTGGAGTTTTGCGGCAACTGCAGTCTTATGCGGAGTAAAAGAATTCAGGCTATGAAATGTAGCTCACAGAAGCTTTGGGTTATTTATGGTGGGAATTTTGACGCAATCGACCTTCACACCAAGGTCGAGCCACTAATCCTTAGCCCAGCTTGTGAAAGGGTAGCGCTGTTGTGGCAATGTCCACCTTACGAAAGCTTCTGAGCCGTGGCGAATACAACATAATCCGAGGAGGATATGCTTCCTATCGGTTGCTTTGTTGGCTGGTTTCCCCGGCTTGAATAGCGGAACCAGTGAAGAAGTCTGCTCCCGGTGGTCTTAGATGTTTTAACAGTAGCAAGTTTATTCCGTTGGGGCCGATGATTTCGGAGGTTTCGCATTCCCGATGGCACCCTAAACAACTTTCCTGTAGAAATCAAATACCGAAGAATGCAGTGTAAAAAGTCCGCTAAAATAGCTCGCACATCTCTTCGGGTTCGACGAGAAATAGTCACCGAATTAATTTTCCAATCGGTCAACGCGCCTAGTCGGATTAGACAATGCCTTGACTATAGCCCAGAGCTTGATTGCCCCGGAGGAGAGATTGCAGGATCTTAAGTGCTTCTCCTACTTTTTCCAGTTTATAATTGTTTACTATTCGTCGAATCTCCTGGTTGGGATCCCTGATTAGGGGATTACCGAGATCACGGTTGCGAATGAAGTCGCGTATTAATGCTATAAGCGCACTGAGGCGTTCTCGGTAAATTCCAAAAGACCGGGCCAATTAGCTTTCTTAAAGTTAGCAAATGACCGGCGGTCCACGAAAAGAAAGTCGGAAGGCCTATCAATCGAGATTCCTATGGGTAAGTGGTCCGATGCTAGTGTCAGTATAGGTCGCCAGGCTATACTGTTTATCAGACCAGCACTCGCAATTATTATGTCTGGCGAGCTTTGGCAATTACCCACAACCCGGGTAGAGGTATTATCGCTCACGGTGCAGAATGTCGAACAGTCTATTTGTTCCACCAGCCCCATTCCTATGTTTGGTAGACTAGAATGCCAAAGATCGTTATGCGCGTTAAAGTAGCCCAAGACCAAACGGATTTTGCCTCTGAGTAGCGCACCTATATCATTGATACAGACAACTGGGCAACTTTTAACATAGCGCAACATGCCTTGGCATTCCATAAGGCAGCGTACGCATCACTCCACTCACGGGTGGTTCGCAGACCAGAGCATGTATGAAAATGGCAGTGGGGAGGACTAGGAGCTGCTGGGTAGCGAGATTTAGGAATGGTGGAGTCTTTTTTGGAAAATGCAGCGGAAAAAAACCGTCGGACCAAGGTTGGTTACAGTCCTCGGCTGAATAAAATCCGGGGCAACTCCGATGCGTAGAACCGACTGTCTTGATAGTGAAAGCTGTAGGAGATATACGGTGGCTTTGATCTAGTTTAGCGAATCAGGCGACAGTAGCTACGATGGTTACATCATATTGTCCCGATGAACAAAAGCGCTCCCTATTTAAAAGCAAAAATTTACTGTATTCGCCATTGGAAGCAGAGGAACAAGGACAGTAAAACCCCTACTACCTTGGAAAGATCTGGTGGGAAATGTCTAGCTGCTTTTGATGACTGCACATCACAAAATTTATCCAAGTCAGCCCAGTCAAATGATATTAGGTATTATTACAGAAGAATATATGTTGTAGAAACTGGTCGGGATTCTAATCTATGTAATTTGATAAGAGATTAATTCTGGCAATAAAATTAAATTTAAATTCGACCAAACCATGAGTAGAGTGAGCACCGAAGATGCTTCTGCAGCTGAGGAGCGGAGTATCGAACAAGAGCGGAATGAATCCATCCGCCAGCGCGTGCGACAATTGGTCGACAATTTGGTGCTGTTCCCATTCATTTTATGAAAAATTTTGCGATTGGGTCTTGATTTGTTTGGCTAACAAGATCCAACTCATGCAAGAATTGAAGCCGAACGACCGTCAAGCGAGTCGAACGTTCGGTGAATGGACCTAAAACGAAAAGGCCACCGATATCGATTTTTACAAGAAAATGCTACATGCTATGCAGTCAACGATGCAAACTTTTTGATGAGCGAATTATCTCGCATCGTAGGCCTATGGCGTGGCATCTAACCATTTTTTGAGTGGCTATGTTACTTGTCTAAGCAGGTAGGCCAGAGCCGATCGGCTGATTAATGTCCCAATCGTATTTCTGTATTGTTGTATTCCGATCCCTATTCAATCCCGGGAAGAGAAGGTCTGTAAACTGGATCTAGTCAGTAGCTCGAACCACCGTACAGTTCTGTGATATAGTTTTGAATGGTGACCATCTGGTCAAGTACTCACTTTCTATTAACAGCGGCTCAGCTTCCAGTAGATGTCTGCAAGGATGTTCCTGATGGTAGGATCCCAGTAGATATTGCTTAGACTGCCTAACCGAGATGTCTCCCTGTGAAAGTGCACCTCAGGTGACATCGGATTTCATGTTACTTTTGGCTGTTAGCTTCTTACATCCCCGATGTCCAAATCGAAGTGGCGAAATTTATGACCGGATCGCCGATAACCGTGTATAAGTTAGTAAATGTAAGAACCAAGACATTTTAACCTGAGGCAAGACGTTAATTAAAGCAAAAAACCTGTAAACATATAAGGTTATTGTTCTACCTACGCCAATGCAGAAGAAGTGTTAAGTTGTAATGTGCAAAAGGTGTCGCCAAAACTAAATTTTCAAAGTCTGTTTTTACTTAAAACCGCGCCAGATGGTACAATGCACACAATTCAAGACAAAAACCGAAACCCATAAATAAAATACACACACCAGATGTCCCTTAAGCCGCAGGACTAAAAGTTTATTTCGAAACAAACCAACAACAGATTTCAAAACCAATTCCCGATAGATGCTGCCAGAAACACTAAAGCTTTAATTATTATTCGCCCTTGGGCTTTCGTTTTCACTTCGTAGAACATGAGAAAGTTTTAGCATAGTTAGAACAAAGCAGCGCTCGACTAATCAAAAGTGTGTTACCTATCGCGGTATAAATATATGAAAAGAAAGAAAGTTGCTCCCAACGTACGCCACTCTCCTCTGAATAAAGGCCTATTTGAACTTATTAACAGCACGGAACACGATATCACTTCCGAACTCACTCTGGTTTACCAGAATGTAGTGACGAAAAACGCACTACGCAGTGATCTTACTGTCGTCACTTTAAACAGCCATCGATTGTGTGGAATAAACGAAACAGAAGTTGCTTGATACTGGCAAACCACTCCCGTTTGTTGGACCTCTCGTTAGATGTTCATGATGACTTATATCAGGCTAGCTGGAGCTTCTCAATTGGAGTAGTTTATTGAAAGAATGCTTATACAAGTATATGTATGTATTATGAAAAAATACTTTATTTCCGACGAGATAAGGCTTTCATTAATGAAAGAATATAAAAAAATAAGCTTTATGGAAAGCCCAATTATCGTTAGTGAAGGCGTTTAATAACAATAAATATGTATGTACATAGTATGTTTATAAAACTTTCCCACAAAATTATTGCACTCCTTATTCCTTCCCTATGAGCTTCTCATATTTTTCCAAATATTAAACTGTTCTAAAAACCAACTTTTTCATCTTCTAGTGTTATAATTTTATCAAATATGAAAAGGAAACTTCGACAGATGTCGCTAAGGTCAATTCGCCGAAAATTTCCACATATTTTATTACATACATAATTTTTATCCATTAGCTGGAAAACTGTTATACCAACCGAAGTAGGGAAATTTACAAGCATGTTATCGTAAAACATAAATTGGTGGCACCCTGTGTTTGCTTTGCGTAGGGGATGACAGTGTAAGAGGTTAAGCGCCATGATGTATGCACCATTTTGATTACATTAAGCAGAGTTGGCAACCTAGCAAATTTATTTATTTACTTTTTTGGTTCTTGTCTTGAGCTGTGTGCATTGGCGTCATCTCGCGTGATTTTTAGTAAAAACTGATTTTGAAAATTTTGTTTTGGCGACATCTCTTGCATATTATAACTTCATACTTCTTTTGCTTTGGCGGAGGCATTGCCATAACCTTATATGCTTGCAAGTTTTTTACTGTTAATTATCGCCTTGATTCATACACTCACTAACTTACAAGACAATCGGCGGGCCGGTCTTAAATTTCGCCGTTTCATTTTGGACATCGGAGACTAACGCAACGCAAATAAAGAAGCAAACAGCCAAAAGTACTATTAAATCCATTGTCACCTGAGGTGCACTTTCACAGTGAAACACCTCAGTTATGCTGTCTGCAGGCATGCGACCGTTGAAACATCTTTGTAAACACCTACTGGGAGCTGAGCCACCTGCCTGGCGAATTAGAAAGTATAAAATTTGACCTGACGAACTCCACACTATATCACACAGCTGCTGACAGACTCTAAATGCTATTGACCTTTATTAAATCTCCTCCCGAGAATAGAGAATAGGGATCGGAATACATCTACCACACATAACAGATAATGAGCTCGAGCTACTTCGCGAAACTCCAGAAATATTCGCACATTTAAGATCTGAACAATGAAGCAAACTCAACTACTATCTTGAAATAGGTCTCCACCCGACACAAACCACCTCATTTTATGCTTCCCAACGCCAACCCTTCTGACACTCCCTCCCTTTAGTACGAACCCATCGAAAGACGACGTCAACCAGCTTTTTCTGCTCCCGGGAGGAGTTGAGCAAGCCAATACAAAAACAACAAAAATATTCCGAAAAACAACTTGAAATATTGCAGAGTTAGCAACCGTAAATTGACTTAAAAACAGCTTTTTGAGGTTAAGGAAACCTGTTGCTGCACGAACTCGCTTCCCGTTCTATAGCCAGTTGTAAACAATAACCAACCCCTAATTGCCACCCACCTGTTAACGGTTAGACGTGCCGTGGCGCACAGCGAGGCAGCAACCACCGGTGGCACAGTTAACGGCCATTGTTTGGGTACGCGCGTCCTAGCAACGGTTGCAAGGCTGTCAACCGAAGTGTAACCACAACAGAGAAAACTGTCAAACAGAACAAAGAAAAATTTCACAAAGTGCAAATACGGAAAATTTAGTAAAACTAAAAATAATTTCTAAAATTAAAATCTGCGAGAATGCAATTAAAGTATTTGAAGACTCTCCTCGAGGGTCAGGTAGGTATAAAAAGTATACTACAAAGTACAAGTAAATATCCGCCAATCCATAGGAACAATTGAATCGCATTGCTGGTCTCGCTTGGTCACCGAATCATCAGAAATTGGCCATCGCCACTGCTGACCGGCACATCCTGCTCTTCGATGATGCTGGCGAACGACGTGATAAGTTCTCAACGAAACCATCGAACCCAGCGAATGGCAAGAACTCTTATGTTATACGCGGTCTCGCTTTTAGTCCGGACTCTACTAAATTGGCTGTGGGTCAGAGTGACAACATCGTCTATGTGTACAAGTTGGGCGACTCTTGGAATGATAAAAAAGTTATCTGTAATAAATTTCCACAAGCGAATGCAGTTACTGCTTTGATTTGGCTGTCCACCGGGTCTATCATTGCCGGTGAGTTCAAGTTCAAAGTGAGAGGAAGGTCTTGTATGCTCTGGCCGTAAGAGAAGTCTGGTGCGAGAACCCGAACTACTCGAGAAACAATCCTCAGTTTTTTTGATTATGAGCTATCGATAAGTTTTCTTTGAAGATTCCATTTAAAACTCTAATATGGATTATTTTACTACTACCGACACCCGTCTTGATCCACGTCCCAACATTATCGGTGTATTCATACGTTTAAAATATATTTATCCCCTCCTATAGGTCTCGATGATGGCAAAGTGCGCGCACTACATTGCAAAAGTAATAAATCTCAGAGTTTATATGCCGCTGAAAGTATCTGCATATCTTTAGCGTCTAATACCAAAGGCACCGGCTTTCTCTCGGGACACAATGATGGCACAATAATACGTTACTTTGTCACCGATGACGCCAATGAGACCTCCGGACGTTTAGTACAACATCCAGTGCCGCCGTTTGCTTTGGCTTGGCCGCAAGGGGGCTTCTGTGCTGGTGGCTGTGATCAAAAAATTGTATTCTACGACACTGTGGTGAGTTTGGTAGATCCAAATTTGCCATATATGAGGCACAGCCAAGCAAATTATTTTATAAAACTATTTTAAAGGGTCGTCCTGTCCGTACTTTCGATTACTCACGCAACGATCGTGAGATCACTGTAGCTGCCGCAAGTCCCAACGGCCAGGCTGTAGCATTTGGTAGTTACGATAAGATACGCATATTCGCCTGGAGTCCACGTTTAGCTGATTGGAATGAGAGCGCCATTAAGGAGATCAACCATTTCTATACAGTCACGTGTGTGCAGTGGCGTCGCGATGGCGCACGGTGAGTGAACTTGGATACTCTGGCATTATTACATATATACATTTGTTGAAATTTTACTAAAAATAAAGCTTGGCGATCGCTTCTGTGACCGGCGCTGTCATACTCTTTGAGTCCGTATTGAAACGTACAATTTGGCAAGACAAATTCGAGTTGATATTCGTCGCACCCAGCCAACTGTTGGTGAAGTCACTGCAGGAGCCAGCCGAACAGATGACTATTGAATCTCAACTCGGTCTCGAAATTGATGATGTACGCATAATGGGCAAGGACAATTATTTGGTGGCACGCACCGAAGACTCTATGATCCTCTGTGATTTGACGCGGAATTTAGTTAGTGAAGTGCCGTGGACAACGTCGGGCCGACACGAACGTTTCTATTTCGAAAATCCAAATGTTTGCCTGATTTTCAATGTGGGCGAACTGAGTCTCGTTGAGTATGGTGAAAGCGCAATCTTGGGCTCCGTGCGTACAGAGTTTGTCAATCCACATGTTATCTCCGTGCGTCTAAATGAGCGTGGCAATACGAAGTAAGCTCGTATTTCATTTTGTGTTGTACGTAAAAACGGAATTTTTACTTTTAGAAACAACAAGAAACTCGCGTTTTTGCTCGACGCTAAGACCATTTGCATTGTGGATCTTATAAACCAAGTTATTATTGGTCAGGTCAGCCATGAGACTAAAATCGACTGGATCGAGTTGAGCGAGACGGCACATAAGCTTTTGTTTCGTGATAAGAAACTCAGGTATTTAGAATTCTCCCACTCCTGACTAACCCAATTGACTGTCTTCCACAACTTCTTCCTTCTAGACTAGTGCTGATCGACATATATACGGCCAAAAAACAAACCCTACTCTCGAATATCTCATTCGTGCAGTGGGTACCACAAAGCGATGTCGTCGTAGCTCAAAACAATAACAATTTGGCGGTATGGTATAATATCGATCTACCCGAACATGTCACGCTCTTGGCTATACGTGGCGATGTGATTGAAGTAGTGCGTGATTCGGTGCGTATAAGGAGCTTTAATAGCTTTGTGGTCGCTATTTTATTATTCTCATCTACTACCAGGGTCGCACTGTAGTTCGTTCACAGGAGGGACCAGCAGAACACACCTATCAATTGGATGAAGGTTTGGTTGAGTTCGGCACCGCTGTTAACGATAGTGATTTCGGACGCGCAATACACTTTTTAGAAACACTCGGTGACAAGCCAGCCGCTAAGGCGATGTGGCACAATCTGGCCGTCATAGCCATTGAAGATGGTAATCTCCGTGTGGCTCAGCGTTGCTACGCCGCACTGGGTAATGTATCCAAAGCTTACTATTTAAATGAAATGATTGAAGAAGCAGACAAGTTTGAAGAGTCCACTGGCACACCGGGCATTATGTGTCCGGAGGTGCGCGCCAAGCTTGCACTGTTGAATTCTGATCTGCGTACGGCGGAGCGTATTTACTTGGAGCAGGGAGACATCGAAGCTGCTTTGGAAATGTATAAGAAACTGCGCATGTGGGATGAAGCGGTCAATTTGGCGGAGCGCCGTGGCTATGGTGGTCTACAACAATTGAAGGAAGAACAAATGGAGTTTCTCATGTCTACCGGACAGGAAGAAAAGGCCGGACAGGTATTAGAAGAACAAGATGAGCCTGAAAAGGCACTAAATCTCTTCTTAAAAGCCAATAAACCAGCGCGGGCTGCACGTTTGGCCATGAAGACGCCTCATATCATGGATGATCAACAACTAATGTTGAAAATTACAGAAGGATTAATAAATTGTGGTAAGTTTCCAGGCTTTACTTTATAGACCAAAGGGATTAGACGCACTGGAGTCTCAGAAAGGACGAAGAGACCCTTATACACTATTTCACTTCTATTTAAATATGTATATTTACATTTACGTTTCAAAAAACCCTGCAGAACTCTATGAGATGGCCGGCGACATTGCACTTAAGCTTTCACGTCCTGAGGCTGCAATGGGTTTGTATCGCAAAGGTGGCGCCTACGCACGAGCACTCGATTTGGCGCGTGAAGTGGCACCCGACAATGTGACGAGCTTGGAAGAGGAATGGGGCGATTGGTTGGTAGCTCGTAAACAGCTGGACGCCTCTATCAACCACTACATTGAGTCCGGCGCTACGCAGAAGGCGCTCGAGGCAGCAGTCGGTGCGAAACAATGGCGGAAAGCGGTTCAAATAGCCAAAGTGCTCGATGAACCTGAAGAAATTCAACGTTACGCATTGGATCTCTCAAAGCATTTGGCATTTTCTGGTGATGTAGATGGCGCTGAAGACTTACTCGTACGCGCTAATATGTTTAAGGAAGCTATCGAGCTGCTCAATCGCCATGGTAAGTGGGAGCGAGCTTATGCGATTAGCGAGAAACATCTACAGGCCGAAGAAATGCATGATTTATTCGTAAACTTGGCAGCAACACTGGAAGAACAAGGTAAAGTATTGTTTAAGGTTACGTATTTCCTCAGTAAATATTGTATTTCGTTAAGCAGGCAAGTACCGTGATGCAGAGAAAGTTCTTTTAGCTGTATCCGAGCCCGATTTAGCAATCGCCATGTATAAACGTCGTGAACTTTATGATTCCATGATACGTCTTGTCGAACGATTCCATAAGGATCTACTCGATACAACGCACCTACATCTGGCTAGACAGCTGGAGTCCAAAGGCAAGTTCAAAATCGCCGAAGTGCACTTCATTGCCTCAGGGGATTGGAAGTCCGCAGTGCATATGTATTGCTCATCGGGTCGTTGGGAAGACGGTTATCGTGTGGCTAAACAGAAAGGTACGGAGGGTGCAAGTAACCAGGTTGCATATATGTGGGCGAAGTCAATGCCGATTGAAAGCGCTGTGCGCTTACTCACTAAACTCGGGCTGCTGGACACAGCAGTTGGTTTCGCTTGTGATTCTGGACAATTCGATTTCGCTATGGATCTTTGCCGTTTGGCGGGCAAATCGACAGATGAAGTGCACATGAAGATCGCTATGTCGCTGGAAGATGAGGGGAAGTTCGAAGAAGCTGAGGTGGAGTTTATCAAAGCCAATAAGCCAAAAGAGGCCATACTCATGTACACACATGCGGGCGATTGGAAGGCGGCTTTGAATGTAGCAGAGCAACATCTACCGGAGGCCGTCAATGACATACTAATTGGTCAGGCTTCGGCCGCTTTAGACACGCGCAACTACCCCGACTATGAGGCGCTGCTGTTGCGTGCTCAACGTCCGGATTTGATAATTGAGCATTACAAGAATGAAGGCATGTTTGATGAGGCACTACGCATAGCCGAGGAACACTATCCGTCGGCAATGAATGATTTGCGCCGTCTGCAGGCGCAGGAACAGCGCCGTAATAATGAGCGGAATGACGATTCACGTGCTTATCTGCAAAAGGCAGCTGAATTTGCAAAGCGCGAAGAGTTTCGCAAAGCCGCTGAGTGTCTTATGCAAATTGATTCATCAAATACGGACGATGCGGCGGCAGTAGAGCGTGCGCTCATAAGAGCCGCGGAAATATGTAACCAATTCTTGGAGGGTAAAGATGCTATTGAGGTGGCCACTCAGTTAGGACCACGTCTATTGCAAATCAAACAAATTGGACCAGCTGCTCAGCTATATCTGGCCGCAGATATGCCCAAAGATGCCGTGGAGGTTTTCATACGAGCCGAACAATGGTCGAAGGCACGACGTCTAGCCAAGGAGTTAGATCCCGAACTCATGACTTACGTGGAGCAGCAACAAAAGTCCCGACTCAAGACCGAAGGCAATGTGGAGCAATTGGCTGACATCGGTAAGTGCATTGACTAGTTAAGTCACCAATTTTTCATTTATTCACCTTCTAGACATTATGAGCGCTTTGGATATGCTCGCTGAGCAAGGTCAGTGGATGCGCTGCTTGGACAAGGCTAAACAAATAAATGCTGCAGTTTTGCAAAAATACGTCGCTCTTTATGCAGCGCAACTAATACGTGAAGGTGACTGTGTAACGGCATTGAGTCTCTATCTAACTTATGGCGCTCCGCCTTTAGAGGCTAATTTCAATATATACACACGCATCGCAATGGATTGTTTTGCCTTACGCGAGGAGCAGGCTAAAGATGATCAGTGGAGAAGCTTACGTGATTTCCTCTATAAACTATTGAAGTCACTACAATCTTCGGAGCATGCGAAGACTCAAATTGCGCAGAATGTGGAGAAATTTCTTTTAATTAGTCATTTCTATGCTGTGCGTGCCGCCTGTAGGCCGGTTCAGTCTTTACAACCGATTGCGGCACGCATCTCCATAGCTCTGTTGCGCTACACGGATGTCATACCGGTAGACAAGGGTTTTTATGAGGCCGGCATCGATTTGCGTAATGCTGGTCGTGAAGCTGAGGCTTTTGTTATGCTTAATCATTACTTGGATGTGTGTGAAGCTATTGAGGAAGGTTCTGGTCATCTAGTAGATCATTCAGATTTGGCGGCCACAGATTTTCCCAGCTCGGTACCTTTGCCGGAGGACTTACATTTAAAGAACGATCCTAATTTGCATGAAGAGGTGCGTGAATGGGTGTTGGCCATCAGTATGGATCAGCAAGTGGATCAGGTAAGATATTTATTTCGCGTTCAGAAAAATTCTACATTCTTCGTTGCGATAAATGATAATCTAAGGCTGTTGAGTTATTCTCCAGAGAAATAAAAGGGGAAATAATTGTGGTGAAACCTTTAGAGTTTCACAAGTCATGTAATTCATTAACTACCTGATAACTGTAAGTATTCCTGGCCGAAAAGGGCACTTTCATCGACCAAAAATGTTTGCTGTCCTCGATGCTGATTTGGAAGGCTTTTCTCTTTCCCAAACTTACGCTAGTGAAAGTTTCAGATCCTATTTTTTTACGAGTTACGTTGCTTATTCTCATTTCGTATTAAAATTTCTTTATTGATTTTTACGACAAAACCAGTTACTACCTACCGACGACCGCGGCTTGTATGAGTCAGCATTGGCACCGGACGAACAAACTTGCATATTGAGTGCATATCCAGTACGTGGACGACAGCCAGTCACTTTTCAATCGTCTAATCGACAAGCCAATCGTGATGTTTGGAGTAAATTTACAGTGGCTCTAAAAATGTCGCCTGGCAGCAAGGTGGCAGATATAATTGCGTTCGTCGAGAAGTGGAATGGTCAAGCTAACAGTTCAATGCATTAATTTAATTAAATGAAACCAAAGGATTGTAATTTGATAACATCTTGAGTGACAGTCACTATTAGGGATAAGAATAAAATTATATTTATTGTCCCATTGATTCGCTTTATCTGCAAATAAAGAGTACATACATTGTTTTTTTTTTTCTTATTCAATTTTATTTATACATAACATATTTAGCCATACTAAGTGAAATTAATATCAATCGCAGTTAATTAATTGATAAATTGTAATTGAAACTTTCACAACTTTTTTAACCAAATTTTGAATAAATTTTAATTCATTTTTTGGTCTAAATATACATAATTAATTTTTTAAAAGGACAATGCAAACAATTAAAGTATTAGAATTAATGTATATTAAAGAGATCGCCAGCTGATGGTAGCGGCGCCAGGCCACCAGTCACATCCGGTAACTGTGTTAAATCGGGCAAATTGGAAAGATGATCACGAATTTCCTTTTGAACGGCAACCATTCGACTTAGTTTTTGCTTATACTCCTACAAAAGAATACGGCATTTCAAAAAAAATTGATTTCCTCCCACTTTTTCTCTTTGTTCTTACCTCTAAACGTTTGTCTGCTTGAGCCAATAGCTCTTTTTGTTCCGCTTGAAAATCGCGTAACATAGAAGCTAACTTTGTACGTTCTTCCATTTCAGCAGCCAAACGCGTATTATACTCATTCAACAGCTGCACAGCTTCGTTAACCTGTGTATCGCAAACAAATTTTATATTTTAACACTTTTTTTTATATATTTTAATAAAAAAAATAGTTGAAAATAACTAAAAATTACCTGTTTAGCCAACGCTTTAGCCGCATCTTTGTCTTCCAATTTGCTAAGACAACTGATTTCGGATATTTCTGGTGGTAAGTTCGCGATTCGTTCGCGCACCACAGCATCACTCGAAGCAGAATTCTCAATGTTTGCCAACGCTTTGATTAGCTCTTCTGGTTCTGGCGGCTCACCTAATGGCAGGTATGGGCTTAGGTGTTCAGCATCACCATTTTGTCCAGTACTTGCTTTCTCCTCTGTATTGGCTGCTGGCCGTGGTTTTTTCACTTTCGCTGCTTTGCCATCATCATGCTTACGTTTTTCGCGTTTCTCAGACTTGTCTTTACTAGAACTACCATTTGTCTTGGGCTCACTGCCGGCTCCAGCACTGCTGCTGGATGTAGCCGCTTCTTTATGATCTTTATTCAAACGTGCACGATATTCAACAATTTGTTTGGAATCATAAACACCACGTTCTTCCCAAATATTCAAAATCCGACCAAGACTACCGAAGAGTTTGTCTGACGAGCACGTTTCACCAATATGCGTAAATACTTTGGGCAAAACAAGTGAATATTCCTTGCCATATTCAGGCCCTTTTTTCTTACTATTTTGTATGACATCATTGGCTAAATACATAAACGTCAGCTTTTTACCCTCAGAAATAGCTAGAACATAATACAGATATAATTATAATGTAAAATAAGTGTTATCAGTAAATTGAATCTTACCTGCTTGTAGCTCTTTAAACCAAGTTTTCACAATTGACGCATGGTGTTTGCGATGATGTATTAGCCACAATGATAACGTTTGTATGCTCTGCTGACTTGAATTCAGTTCACCCAGCTTCTTTAAAAGTGCCGATTCGGAAAACGCCGACATTTTACCCGATATTTTCAGCGCTTTTTAAGAACTTTTTCGCAAATATCTATGAAACCTCATAAATTTTCTAGTCAGAGACGAAATAACAAAGCTGTGTCTTGTTTTTTTTTTTTTGGTTGCACATTTAACTTTTTGACATTTGTTTTTGAGATATTTACGAATGGCATGTGTGAAGGAATGATAAAATGGCATTGCCAGCCTTGAATTTTTCCTTTCTAGAATATTGCGCAGTATTTTATTTTGCAAGCACATGGAACGCACAAATTTGTACGCAAACAAAATAAATTTGTAAAAAAAAGGGTGCAACAGACATCACCTCAGCTACATGAAAGCATACGGATATTTTGATATGACAAAAAATGTGACCTTCCACTTTGATAAAAAAAATATCGAACACCAATTGGCTTGAGTGGAACCTGAATGGGTTCCAAGGAAAACTATAGTTTTTGATGTGTTTTGTGTGACAGGCTTCAAATGACTTACATACAAGTGTTTGGTTTTCGCCGAATATTGCACGAGTGAAAATCATTGGCTAGATAAAAATCCGGGTTTTTCCGATATAAATACCCGATCAGTCGCCTTTTACGACAGACATGCTTTTACCCTGCGTAGTAGAGGGCTCAAGAATTTTGCCGCGGTAAGACATACCTGTTGTAAGAGGCGATTAAAATCCCAAAAATTCCCGTGACAGTCTGAGCTTTAAACCAAAACGACCCGGATTTTTATACGGCCAAGGATTGTTACTCTCGCAGCGTTCGCCAAAAAATTGCTTTGGGAACGAAAAACGTCGGCTACTGCACTGCATTTGCACATTCGCCTTTAGTCCGAACAAGACATTAACCACGACTTTAGTCGACGGCCACAAACGACTCCACACAACCGAGCCGACGGCCATGACATGAACGCGCAAGGTTCGCTCATATCACACGCTTCTGTGACGTTTTCACATCTGTGGAATAGAAGTTATTGTATTTAGTTGCCGGCCGTGGGCTATTTTTTGTGGCCTAGAGGCGCCGTACCTAAGTAGTAAAACCCGCTTCCAACTCTTAGTTTCCTCTTACTCACTTCCAATTTTTTGGTGTCGAAACCAGCGATCTTGAAGATTTTTTCCTTCATTGAAATCCACTTTTTTATTGTTGTTTTGTACTAATTCCTTGGTAATCTTTGAAATGATTATACAAACAGAAGTCCTCCTTTAAGTCAGAACGATGCTGGTAAATTTTTGAGATTTTGGTGATCATATGGAACACCGTTAATAAGATTTTTATATTTCATATCGTTGTTGAAAGAAAGACACACTATTAACCAGCTCGATCTTTATTCTTTCGTTTAATCCACTTAAGCAGGCAATGCGCAGTCGGTTCTCAGCAAATTTAAAACACCAAATGGACGACTAATTCTTTTTAATGGATAGGTAATGAGCTAATCAACTTTAAAGGCGTTATAACTATATATATGTATAAGTAATCTCTTTTCCAAACTACCGCAGTAGCCGTTAAATACATACATTAAAAAAAATGTGCGGGAGATGAGTCGAAATGTCAGAGTATTTAAAATAAAACTTTATAACATATTTTATAATTACTTTGTTTTATGTTTATATGGAAGTGGAATGGGAGATATAACCAGCTAAACGCTCCTACACGTGTTGTTCGCATACCGTCTAATCAAATCAAAAGAAATTCTCACCTCTCGCGCTGATAACACCCAACCAGACAGGTGTCGGAGAACACTGTCAAAGGCCTAAAAGTGTCGGCCGCTTCAGTCTCGCGTCAAACTCATAACGTTACGGTGTGGAAACAATTCGGCAGTGCGGGCATTTTGATTTTCATACGTGCGAGTATATGTATAAATATAAAGAGTGTTTGGTGGCGCTTTTCAAATTTTTTTGTTTCTCCTAATTTGTTGTTTTTTTTTTTTTTTTTTTTTGACAAGTGGAGTAGAATTTTGGAAAAGTTGAAACGGCTTATCAGCGCACGGTATGAGTAATTTGCGATACAACACGTTGAGTGATTGATATGATTGATATACGAGGATCGTGCCTCAGTCGATTTGTTGTTCGATTGTATTTCAGTTGGGATTAAATGCTTCAAAGTGTAGTAATTAATAGCAATAGAAACAATAAGTTGAATTTGTTATAAATATTTAATGGTTCTAACAATAATAATTGCAATGATTACAAGTGTCTGATAAAATTTAATTATTTATCGTGGGTAAAACAAAAAAAAAAAATTGAAAATGAAAATGATAATGAAGTTATCAACTGTCTATTAAGTGTTGATTAAGTTTTGCGAGCGTTGAAGGAGTCAAGTGAAAATATTTTTCTTCTACCAAACGATAAAAAAAAAACAACAACGAACATTTAAACACTTTCACTGTAATGTCGGAAAGTCGTACATACCAAAAGTCACTACGTTAAATATTTTACCGTGTAGAGAAAAATCTGTAAACAGGTAATGTCTACGTAATGATTTGGCACTCTTGTCAAATTTGTATTTGATAATTGGTTAATTTACTGATTGACGTAACGTTTACAATTAAATTGATAAGAAAAGAAAGTGCTTGCATACCTTTGCTGACAATCTGCACGAATATGAGGAAATGTACACATACATATATACATATTTTTGTGTACAAATATTTTCCAGTTAAAATGAAATTGTCCTTTTTTCTACTTCCTACACTTATTTCAACAAATTAAATGAATTTTTTTTTATTTTTTTTAAGCGATCAGTTCAAGTAATTTAGATATTTAAAGATAATAAAATATCTAAATGAATTTAAATTTTTAAAAATTCTCAAAATAAAAAATACTCACTCCTGCATTGTTGGTAAACTCATTTTTTTTTTTCAAATTTTGGTACCGTTGATTTGCTTTGTGAGCGAAGATATTTCGCTTGGTTTTCGGCGCCTACCACACCCATCTGCTTTAATTCTTTGTCTGATTTATATATCTGATATGTAATATATATATACATAATTACTTTACTGGCATAGACACCGCTTACTCGATTTTAGCCGATTTTATAACAGCTTGGCGCCAATCTCTCGCTACCTGGCCTTTTCAACGGAGTGAAGGTCTTCTGCTTTCACTGCTTCCACCAGCGTTTACTGCAGCGAAAAAAAAGCGGAAGTATTCGCATCCATCCGCACCAATATGACCCAGCCAGCGTAGCCGCTGCTGCTTCTTAATTCGCTGAACTATGTCATTGTCACCCTATATCGCCTACAGCTCATCCTTCCATCGCATGCGGTATTCGTTTCGCTACTAACTCATAGAGGACCGTAAATCTTAAGTAAAGTCTTGAAAACTCGTCAGATGTGGTGGTTGTTGTTGTTGTAACCGAAAAAATATTCCCTAAAGTACTTTTTGGGCATGTTGCGGGAATGCAAGTCCTTGGTCGGATAAAAATCCGGGTCGTTCCAATATAAAGACCCGACTGTCACGGGAACTATTGGATTTTATTTCGCCTCTTACGACAGACATGCATTACCGCGGCTAAATTTTAGAGCCGCTAACCCGCAGGGTCATCACCCATGCTTCCGCACCATATAGCAGGACGGGAACGATGAGGGACTTGTAGAGTTTGGTTTTTGTTTGTGTGAGAGGTGACTTTACTTTTCAATTCCCTATTCAGTTCAAAGTAGCACCTGTTTGCAAGAGTAGTTCTACGTTAAATATCCAGGCTGACATTGTTGTTGGTGATAATACTGGTTCCAAGTTAGACGACGTTATCTACGACTTCAAAGTTATGACTGTCAACAGTGACGTAGGAACCGAGTCGCGAATGTGATGACTGTTTATGTTATGACAGCAGATATTTCGTTTTGACCACGTTCCATATCCCTCGCGTCCTTATCCAGTCTGGCAACAGCAGAACTCATGGCGCTGTTGTTCAGACCAATAATGTCAATATCATCAGCGTACGAGGGGCAATGCAAAAAGTACCATCTGTAGATTGTTAAATGGGTAAAAGCGCTTGTCGGGATGGAAAAGCTCCGTCAGTTTCGGTTCGGAGTGCCAGCGTGAAGTTGGAGTACAAAAAGCTACAGGCCTACTTGGCTTTGAGTATGGGAACGGTACACCGTTATTATATTGATTGTGTATCTTCTTTTTTACCAGATATATAAATATAATCTCAATTAGGAAACTTATCGTAATGCTTCGCAGGCTGATTAGTAAACTACCAACCTGAAAGAAGAGCTGAACCCAAAATTTTATAGATAATTTTTAAGCAATCATCGCCTTTCTCGTGAATGTCTTAGTCGAAATCCAACCATCACTTAAATTGCATATACACATAGTATGTTTTGCCATAACCTTCACCACGTCTTTTTAAACCGAATCAGCTAACGCCCTTTATATCTTTAGGAATAGATCTTTTACTGGCCATCCTGTGACGAAACTACATTGATTTTTGCGAAGCGACAACAATTGGTAACTCATCTTTGGAGCTCTCATCCAAGCAGCCAGACCATAGATGGGTAGCTTAGTTGGAAGTGTAGGTTAAGGACTTGACGGCTTGTCGTTGCGTAATTTAAGTTGGAATTGCTTCAAGGTCTTAAGTGTTTCCTTAGGTTAAAGTGTTTTAAGCTGAAAGGGCTGAGACAGTCGATGGTGACAGCCTTTCTAGTACCAGCCAGCTTACCTACCTTTACATTACCATCTACATTCGTGTGATCTGACACCCAGTGATAGGTTGTTTATTACTGAAGGTACTTCCGGTGCCACCAACATCCAAAAGCGGAAAATTAATTTTAAAAAAATTAAATTCAATTTTCTGATTGCTGTCGCCCCTCGGCTGGGAACGTCCACCCCTCCGAGTGTATTTCGGACATGAAATAAAGGCCTCTTGTAAAAAAAAACCATAAGCCGTTCGGAGGCGGCTTAGTATAAACTGTAGGTTCCTCAATTTGTTGGAAAAATATTAAGACGCAAAATCCAAAATTGGAGGAGGAGCTCGACCGAAAATCGCTTCAGTGGTTGCAAAGCGCCAATTATATATACATATATACTTACAAATTTAAACTTTGTGCTGGATTGCCATAATTGCTGCTTGGCGGTCTATTGAGTTTCTTACTACCTTGGTAAAACACTGCTCCCGTGCACCCTCGCTCACATATGTAAATGTAAATATCCACAGATTTACTTTCCGCCCATTCTTTCCTGCTGTGCTTGCACCTGGCAAAAGATGATTCCCAAGGCCTTTGCTGAGGAAGTTTTCATCGCGACTGCAATACTTAAAAAATAGGTGCGTTGAACTCGTTCCAGAGGTTAAATGTGGCACTTTTTATTTAGTGTCGTCCACCATACCAGCGATTTATAAGTTAGTTTGAGTCTCACCATATATTTTGGTGCAATAGCTCTTCTCCAGGTACTCTCAATTCCGAGAACTTTGTTGTTCCTGCTGTCATAATGTTAAGTTCGGTTTTTTTCATCAAGGCTCACTCCAAGATACTTGACCGGTAAGTTAGTGAACTTTTGTCTTCCTCAGATTTGTCTTACGCAGATCCCTGGTTTTTTTTCGGTCTTACAGTGAGCCCACTCAAGGATATGCTCTATTAATCGATTAATTATCAGTGTCACCCTCATTAACGAGTACAAAATTCCACCCTGTGGAGTGCTACATGTGATTTCATGGGCAATTTTAACACCTTCACTCCCACATCCAGTCGGTATATTATTTCTCATATGCGTCGATTTGGCAGTAAGCTCTGCTCGATGTGCACGGAAATCAGATGCAAGCTGTGTATCCCAACACGTTAAAGTGAGTATAGAACTTGACACGTCGCATGTCAAGAAAAATTTAGCCTAAATGCGATCAGGGCAGCTCGAATTGGAATCCTCACGGGACCATTGTCTTGTACGCGAAAAGGTTAGACTTCCTTTTCAGAAAATACTTTAGGAGTGACGAAGTGGAGAAGATGAGTTTCTAGGAAATTACCCTACTATGAGCAGATTTAAGCTTTGACAGTTTAGAGTTGCTTTTATTGATAGAATTCATATCATAAGGAGGAGGTCAAAGTGTAGAAAGTAGCCTAAAACCCTCAAACACTCTCTCCAGGAGTCGGATTAATACTGGTATTTACATTTTCCCATATCAAAAGGAGGACAATAGATGCAGTAGGCTTACCCTAAGATAAATTCTGTTGTTACCATTTTTTACGATATTGTATCGAGGAAGAAGAAAGGTCTTGCCCTCATAAGCGTACACACTTGAGGTTTTCGTCGATATTTTCAATATCTTACCGACGTTGTCGCAGTTTCACTCCACGTTACGGGTTTCGTTACGTATTTAGTGAAACGCTTATGTTGGAGTCCTCTGAGTGCTTCAATGGTGTCTCACTCTTAAAAAGTTGTATCAAAAACGATAGAAGAAAGTACATAGTAAAGCTAATAGCGAAGTCTACGTCAGCAAAATTCAGCAGACGACCGGCATCGCCATTATAGCAGCACTGCCATAAACTCCTTCCAATGCTGCCGGAACTCTACTTAATCTTCTTCATTAGGCCTGTATGGTGAACTTCATGTGAGATGCAACGAACTAAGGCAAACTACAACTCAATCCTGTAGAAACTATAGTACATACTCGTAGCACGCTCAAATACTGAACTCTACACCAAGCTAGAAAGAGTGGACTACCCCACTACAGTTTTCTGTTTTGATTATCCAATTTCAAGAAAACTTCCATAGAGGGACACATGAAAAAATCTAAACGTATTCAATCTCTGCCGATGGTGCAAAACTCGATAGCGGAGGTGGATGCGCAGTCCCCTTAGGACTACATAGCTACTGCAGTGTCCTCCAACCGTTATATCGAAGACTGTGTTGGTCTGATATACAAGCTGTCGTTAGGTATCTTTAGAGCAATCAGATCAACATCCAAAGCGGCAAGAAGATTCAGAGATACACGGTGTGTCCCAAAAATAACCGAACTTTTTGGATATAAACACATTATATTATCTTTGAAAGTTATTATTTATTCAAAATAGGTTCCATTTGACTCTACACAACGTTTGGAACGATCAACCAGCGCATGCATAGATTTTTTTATGTCATTTATAGAATTGTTCTTCAGTACCTCGGTTACGGCTGCTTGAATGGCTGGGATATCATCATAAAATGTTCCCTTCATCTTGGTTTTCAGTTTTGGAAATTAAAAAGTAGTCACATGGTGATAGATCAGTCGAATAGGGAGGATGGTCGCTGATAGAAATCCCTTTTTTCATTAAAAAATTCGTTTACTTTTTTGGTCTTGTGAGGTGGTGCATTAGCGATTTTTTGGTCGTCATTTAATTCATGTGGAACAAATCGCGCACAGACCTTTCTTTTCCCCAAATCTTCAATTAAAATTCTCCAAATAGTGTTTTTACTCGTATTCAATTCCTCAGCCAACATCTCGTGCATCGACACCAATGATTTCACGGACTTTTCCCACCAGTTCAGCACGATTACTAGTTTCTGGACGTCCTGCTCTAGGGGCGTCATGTAAATCCTCACGACCATTTTTAAATCGTGTAAACCCCGTATAAACTTGCGTACGACTCATACAATCATCACAATAAGCTTTTTTCATTAATTTTTTTTCAAGTTTGACACAAAATTTTATATTTGCTCTTTGTTCCATTTTTTATTTTTGAATTCTTAGCACACTTTTGGTTTTATTGAAATGGCTGTCACTTTTACATCTGTCATCCGACTTACATGAAGTTATGTGCATTTGAAAGAGGATGAATGTATCTTTTTAATGTTGCAAATTTTCAATAGATGGCGCTGTATGTTGTATGATTTAAATATATAATGTGCGGTTATTTTTAGGACACACCGTGTATTTTAAAAAACTCTCGAATGCATGCAAAACTTTCGCAGTTGGGGTGCACGCCCACATGTACATATCGGGGAACTGTGTGGCCTACGGTAAATTCTGCACAGGAAAAGAAACTAGAGATCGGCGTACTCAAGTATGGTCAGAGGTGGAAAAACCTCAAGAAAACTGACCAGACAGGTCTGGATATTGAACGAAGAGATAAGAACAGAGGCTCTAATTCTATACATCGGATCTCCATTGGCTTCTCAACTGTCTAATGCCACTGCCCGGCCGTCAATGTGAGAGGAATTTGGTGAAAATAATTATTTTAAAAGCATTTTATTTACGTTTCTTTTTTCGAGTTGATAAATCGCCAATTGAAATGCCTGCCAATGCCGTTTTAACCACTCCGATAGATAGCGTAATACAATACAAACTCATATTACGTTATTTATATAGAAAAAATATTGCGATAACGGTAATGTAACGATTTAATTTAATAGGTTAACGATTTAATTTAATTACACACAACCATCAAAGGGAACTGAAATGATTTCGCGAAATGAAATCGGGAAAGTGAAAAGCTTGCTTGCGCGTATTAATTTATTTGTTGATTTATGCGCTTCTGTGCGATGACTATCTGCCCGACAAGTGTAGGGCATTACAATTTTATGATAACACCGATAAGCGTTACGGAAGAATTAAAGGAAAAAAAATGATTGTTTGAAAGTCGATTCTAAATTTCCAGCCTAACTGCGGAATATTGATACGAGTTTATCCTAGTCTTACGGTTTCAATAAGAAAGTATATTTAAAATACAAGTCAACTGTTAAGCTGATAAGAAGCAATAAATTCATTAATTAAACACAGTCATATGCATATCGATACACCGTTAATAGCTTATCATAAACAAATATAGATAATTTATATTAAATATACAAACCAATTAAAATACAATATTTTGGTAGTCAAAGATATGCAGACGTGTATGTATGTTTGTTATCTATAAATAATAAATTGAAATTTCATAAAAATTTATAAAAAATTTATATTTCGGCCAAGCCCGCAGTCTTAACTATGTCAATGTTGGCGATTTCGGTCGTCGCTCTTTCTCCCGTAAACTTCGCAAGCCGACTCACCGGTTGTTGTGTCGAGAGAGTAACTGTTTATGGTTGTTATTTTTGGTGCTGATGCGGGTTTCCAGATAGACAAAAAGTTATCGACGGCTTAAAAGTTAAAACTATCTACAGCAGAGAACTTATAATAAGTGGGAGATTGTTGTTAATGACAAGAGACAATTTATTTTACTTCTTTATTGGCGTTGGCACCGCATACGCGATTATAGCTGCATCAATATTAACGTGCCATTCATCGGTTCTTTCAGTCCTTCTTTTCGCTGCTTGGCGCCAGTTGAATATACCAAGTGACGCAAGGTCATTCTCCACCTGTTCCTTCCAACGGTGTGAAGCTCTACCTCTTCCTCTGCTTCCACAAGTAGCTACTACATGGAATGATTTCTAAGCTTTTGCCGTGTCCTTATACACTAACAGGCCCTAAGCTTCGCTTTCATATCATGTCTGGAGAAAGTCTTCCCTATTAAGCTTTGCAACTAGTATTATTTTCTCCTGCAATAAACTAAAAGAATTCACACTACGAAGAGTCAGCATGTCTATAACCTCGTTTGGTATCGAACGGGTCGTAGAGGTCCTTCCTGACGAAGTTTTTAGTGTTGCTTAAGGTCAGTTTATACAGCTGTATACATTTCTCGGGGATACCAAATTCAGTCATAGCAGCGTGCGGCCGCTCCTTTTCGAGTCGTTGTAGGCTGATTCAAAATCGACGCAGAGTTGGTGTCTGTCGGTCCACTTTTTACGTGTATTTTTCAAGCTTTTTGGATGTTGAATATCTGATCAATTGTAGATAAGGTTGAATCATTTTGTTGGCGCTCGATAGGATGTTAAAGGCTGACATTTGATATTCGAGCTTCGCCATTGTTGGGCACTGGAACGTCTATACCATCGTTATCGTTAGAGGCCACAAAAAATGCAGGGGAAGTATTCTTTAGATAAACACGCCATACTCTGGGCATCGATCATCAGACCACAATTTTGGGTCCTACATGAGTGTGCTCCGGTCATAAAACTGTCTGTAAGTCGCCGCATTACTCTAGTGGGACAGCTTGTTAAATTCTTCATAAGCATGTATATCCTCCTATTTAGTTTTGTGTCTACAAAAGCGTCTCCTCCACAAAAGTAGGTAGTATATTTTGTCTCCATTATGGTACGAAAGTATTCATCGTACCTACACTTCTTTTGACCTTCTTCGATGGCGGCTGTACGCAGTGAGCTTGAAATATCCTACCACAATTGCAAGTCTAGAAGAAATCGTTTGGAAGTCTGCTAATATTACAGCTTTTTGTCGTCGAACCTTATTTGTGTTTATTGCACTGGAGCGGTTGCGAGAAGATAGTGGGACCACGGAGCTTACACACATTTAGAACACTGTATTAAGTGCTTTCCGTCTATAACAAGGTCGCGGATTTGTTTACGGACTCTTCGATCCGGCGGCAGCCATGGAACTTGGTATTGTACTTGTTTGCTGAAATCTGGTGCTAGAGAAAACCATATTTCGGGTCCGGCGGATTCAGTCCCCCTAAATCCATTTGTAGATGTTTCCTAATGGAGTTCGTCGAAGTTATCTAACTATTGTGCCGAAAATACCTTCTGGCGACAAGCACTATTTCGACATGGTAGTGTAGCCGGCGCTCGTATAAGAGTTCCAAGCGCTCATATGTGTCTTTGGTCACATCGTCTTTCTCTTTTTCGGTATGTGAACGCCAATTTGTGATATGTCAAAGATCTTCGCTTTGGGGCGGATTTCGATCATATATTCATCCACCGGTCTTATTTATTGGCATCAAATTTGGGCTCCTCTATATCAGCGATGAAATAAATGTTACAAGCAAATACTCTTTTCCGTCTTTGTACCGTCCTTCGCATCGCATCGCACCGGGGAGCAGGGATATCAGCCTTTACGTCATCAACCGCCTGCACAATTAAAGATCCGAACTTTTCATGTGCATACCCTCAAATTGAAGTATTTGCCTCGACCGTCTTCGAATAAGGGTTCCGCAATGGTTATTACCACACCTTTTTTTTCTTGCTCTTTTCCCTTCTGAATTTCTAAACACTGATTTCTCATTTCCAGGTCCACGATTCAAAAAAAAAGCATAGACAAATAAGAAACATGAACTCGTTTTTAGAATCTTCAACTGAAGAAACTGAAGATAGCCAAAATCATGACGAAGGACATCAGACTAAATTAGTAAACCAAAAGAAATGGGAATTGGGCTATCTGAAGCGCAAGTGTCGCAATCTCGAACTGGAATCCTACTACGTGTCCTATATGAATCGCTTGCGTTTAAGTCATCTGGGCATATTCATATTTATACTAATACTAATAGCGATAGTACATTCCTTGCTGCTTATTGCATCGTTTCCCAACAGTGTAAGTATGTATGATTTATATAAAATGCATATATATATTTGAAAAATTATCAATTTTGTTTTGTGCTGTGATGAATTTGCAGGAAAATCGTGACATTTACTTGGATATTGGCATTTACATGGGTTGCACCTTCATTATCCTCGTGGTTTTGCTCTTCAATTTCCGTTTACCGCTCAATAAGCGTTATGAATGGTTAACGTTCAGCACAATTTGGTTAGCGATCTCGGCGCTTGTTTTGATGGGTACGTTAGAGATAGAGACGCTGTGTGTGTACATATTGAATTTTAAATATTTTCCCAGATATCTCATTACCCATCTATCGCGCGGTCAAGGACTATAATATTATCGTGCCAACTTACTACAGTTTCATCATATATGCGATATACATATTTATGCCAATCACCGAGGATATCCACGCCTTCATTTTGGGCCTATCTGTTTCCGCTTGTTATATGATATTGTTCTCCTTCGTCACATATCGTCGTCGCATGGATGGTTCGCGTGAAATTGATTTACCTAAAATTGTGTCGGAAGGCATTTTCATGGCTTGCGTCAATATGTTGGGTCTCTTCTTTCGGCTGACACGCGAAGTGGCCATTCGTACCACATTTCTGGATAAACGGCAATGTGTTGAGGAGACTTTGGTGTTGCGCGCAGCTAGAGATCAGGAGGTACGCTGATGCATGGGTAAATGTGAAATCCATCTGTACTGTATCTGGAAATACTTTATTTTTCAGAAAAGTCTACTACTCAGTATAATACCTGCGCAGATCGCAAATAAAATTGAGGAGGATGTGAAAATGCGCATTGAACATTTGAAGAAGAGCAAGAAATGCCGGCGATCAACGCACGATGACACGGAGTGAGCACACTTTTATGAAAGAGGCAATTATGCTCTCTGATTCAAAAATTTTTTTAACTCGAGAATCACTTCAATCAGCATTCTGCGAGACTCATCTGAACATTTTTTTCAAGAATTTGCAGGAAAATATCTCTTTTAGTTAACTAGATCTAGCAAGACCAATCTCGTATTCGTTGTGTGTAATTGTTGCACAAACACAAACTCCAGACTCCTACTTTTGCCAACTTAATTCCGACACCTTTTCCTTACCCATGGACGGAATAGTTTAATATTTAGGTTTAGCCAGACTTTTCTTTTGTAACTGATTTTCTATTTTTTCACACTTTCTACTCATATTTTGTTCAATATTTACAGATCCACACCGACTCCACTCTGGCGACAAATGGACACCGAGTAAGTACTGAATAATGATGTGTTAGATGAGTTACCCATATTCGATTTTAGTATATCGGTGTCAATCATGGATAAATAGGAATTGAGATTCATCAATGATGGTGCTAGATGGTGGTTTATTTCAGAGCTCGTAATTCACGGGAAGAGAGTTTATATTCGACGTTAATTACTCATTAAAGGCAAAACCTTACGGATTACGGGTTGGTTCAAAGCTCTTTGGTTCAAGATATTGAGCTTAGATGATGATAATTATGGTCCAAAAATTACATTTTTGAAGACAATGGTATTCTACCGATCACTCCATTGGCTGCACGCTATCATTAAGTCAATAAATGAGTCTGAAAAAATGAATTTTCAAACGACGCTTTTTGAAAGTGCTTTTCTTAATATTTTACTGCTTTTGAAATATGTATTTCATAGAAAATATCGTTTATATACATATAGTTCACTACTTTTTTTGTTATTTTATTTATTTTATTTTATTTTATATTATTAAATAGATTAAGTCATTGTGTTTTAGCGATTTTTTTACTTAACTTTTATATTTTACCATCTTTGTTATTCTTTATTTTATTAAACATTATTTTTTATTTTATTTTACTTTATTTTATTTTATTAATTTTATTTATTTAATTTTTTAGTTTTTTTTCATTTTATTTAATTTTTATTTTTTTGATATATTGTATTACTAAATTTAATTTTAAAAAGTTTTTCCTTCTAATTTATTTTTATTCATTTATTTAATTCTATCTTATCTGACTTCATTTTAATTTTTTATTATTTTTAAAAATTTTTTATTTTATCTTATTTTTTTCTCTAATTATTACGTTTCATTTTATTCTATTTTGCTCGTTTTATTATTTTATTATTATTGGTTTTATTTTGCTTAATTTTCAATTTAAAACTTTTTTCACATATTATTAAGCTTTTTATCAAATTTTACTTTTACTTCTCTTCTCCAATTTTATACTTAAACTTTTTTATTTTATTTCATTTTTTTATTTTTATCTTTTTTTGTTTTTTTTTATTTATTTATTTGTTTTATTTATTTTTTATTTACCTAATTTTTGAATTTACAATTTCTATATTTTACTTTTACTTCTTTTTTCTTAATTAATACAATATATTTTTTATTTTCTTTTCATTTGTCTATTTTAATTTATTTTATTTCTATTTCAATTTAAATTTTTTTAATTTTTTTTTTAATCTTTTTATGTGTTACAAAATTTATTTTTAATAAGTTTTTCGTTCTAAATTATTTTTATATATTTATTTGTATAATAATGAAACAAAATAAAATAAGATAAAATAGAATAAAATAAAATAATATGCACTAATTATTTTATTTCGTTTCATTTTATTTTATTGTTATTTTTTATCGTATTAATTTCTTACTTGAATTTTTTCATTTTTTACTAAATTTTCAGATCATAATTTACTTTTACCTCTTTTCTTCATTTCATACATCAAATTGTTCATTTCCCGTAATTTTATTTAATTTTTATTATTTCATTTTTTTTATTTGATTTTATTTTATTTTATTTCATTCTCTTTAATTCAATTTTATTTAATTTATTATATTTCATTTTCCCTTATTTTCGTTTCTTTATTTAATTTTATTTCATTTTACTTTTATTTATTTGAATTTATTTTATTTGATTATATATGTTTTATCTTATATCATTTTATGTTATTTTATTTGAATTAATTTTTTGTTATTATAATTTATTTTAATCTTTTCTTTTCTCTCTTTTTTTGTTCTATTTTATTTTATTTTATTTTATTTTATGTTATTTTACTTTATTTTATTTTATTTTATTTTATTTTATTTTATTTTATTTTATTTTATTTTATTTTTTATAGCCTTATATTTAATTTAATTTAGTTTTACTTTACTATATTTTATTTTATCTTATGCTATTATATTTTTTTTTATTTTTTTATTTTAATTTAATTTATTCTATTGTATTTATCTTATTTTATTTTATTTTATATTATATTATTTATTTTATTTTTTGCATTTCTTTCTATTTTATCCTATTTTTTTAATTTTTAATAATTTATTTTATTTTGTTTCATTTTATTTTATATTATTTTATTTCTATTTTGCTATAATTTATTTTGTTATATTTTCAGAAAACTATTTATTGAACCCCACAATGATGTCTCGATTTTATATGCGGATGTTGTCAATTACACTTACCTCACGACAACACTAGATGTGAAGACCCTGGTCGAGACTTTACATGACCTCTTCGTCAAATTCGACACGGCTTCCCAGGTAAAAAATCTTTAAACATTTTAACCACATCTGGGTTATAAGTAGTTAATGAGACCCCCTTTTGCAGGAGTACAATGTGTTGCGAATAAAATTTTTGGGCGACTGTTATTACTGCGTTGCTGGCGTACCGCTGCCAAATGAATACCATGCGAGATCGTGTGTATATCTTGGTTTGCGCATGATCAAGGACATAAGAGACGTCAGGTAATTATCTACGCCCATTCCTTCTAAGTCAATTAAGTACTGAGCTCTGTACTTCTAGATCAAAACGAAAGCTGGATATCGACATGCGCATCGGTGTCCATTCGGGAAATATACTCTCTGGTGTCATTGGCGCCAATAAGTGGCAATTCGATATTTGGTCGAAAGATGTAGATATTGCCAATCGCCTGGAGTCAACAGGTGAAGCAGGACGTGTCCATGTTAGCGGGCAGACATTACAACAACTGGATGGTGAGTTTATTTATGAGGAAGGCACAGCGAAGGCGCGAGACGATCCGGTGCTGCGTAAATATCAGATACGTTCATTTCTAATAAAACCGCCGTCATCGAAAGTTAGTATACTTGTAGTTTCCTCAGAGTGACATTCAATATGGTGTATGACATTTACTTAAAGTTACTGGTTTTTTTGCTTCATAGGCGAGCTCGTACATTACGATGAGACGTCCGAAATCGTCGCTGCGTAAAAATTTGGAAATGAGACAAGGTTTGGTAAGTTCTAACGGACAATTTGGTGAAAGCATTGTTTATTTCCGTTTTCTGTTTTCTGTAATAATAGGATCCCAGAAGCGACTTACCCACGAACTTCATGCAAAATAGCATTAGCCAATATAACCAAATACGGAATCAAGCTACATTGGAGATGAGCAGAGAGGTGGATAAAATGCCTATTGGCAGAATACAGTAAGATATTTGAAAATATAATAACTACTCTTAAAATGTGAGGAATATTCTGTCAAGGTGATGCACAACGTCTCATCGTCTAAAAATGATACAGTTGTCTCTACATCTACCCCTCCGAAGGATGAGAGAGGAAAAACTTAGACGCTTATTTTGCCTGCCAAATGATGATATCACTAAATGGTCTATGTCAACGTCTAACAGATTCAGTGATTGAAAGCCTAAGTATAATTGGCGCTTTGTAACCGCTGAAGGGATTTTCGGCCGAGTTTCTCCTCCAATTTGTGGCTTTGTGTTGGTGTTGATGTTTTTCCAACAAATGTAGGGACCTACAGCTTATACTAAGCCACCTCCGAACGGCTGATGGTTTTTTTAAAGAGGAGCCTTTATTTCATGTCCGAAATACACTCGGAGGGTTGGACATTACCTGCGGAGGGGCGACCGCAATTAGAAAATTTAACTTAATTTTTTATTTAAATTAGCTTTCTATAACTTTTGGATGTTGATAGCACGGGGATATTAACCCGAGCCTTCCAAATGGCAATACGCAATGCTAACCACTCGGCTACCGCGGCTGCCGACCGTCAGCTTACCTGGGCCAATAAATGGAACCACAGTGATACCACTCAGAATTCTAATACCCCACTCTTGTGTGAAACTAATTTATGGAGTTAATAAAACTGAGTTATCGGCCTATCTTCGGTACCGCATCAACTTACTCCGCTAAATAGTGGTCCTACCTTTCTGTAAGAATAAGTCCCAGATGATGATGATACTAAATAGATCTCAGATTGAAACCAGTAAGACTCGATCTCGCCTAACAATCGTGAGTGTGCGAGCCATTTTAGTCGACTTTCTGCACGGCACAGTTCGAAGGAAGAAGAAAGCCTTCCCCGGATACCTAGGATATCAACTAACGAGGGAAAATCATATCGGCCGATATCTCTCCTTTTCCCTGAAGTGACGACAATTGAGACGTTGCTGCTCCCGTTCTTCACACATATGTACATCATCAATAAGCACATTTGCCGAACCACATCGCCATAAACACCCGGCGTGTCCGACAGTCATCGGTAGCTTTTCGAGGTCAAACTTTCAAACTCCTTAAGATTAAACAAGGCGTTCTGCAGGGTGGTGTCCTCTCGTCGCTTCTGTTTAGTAGTTATATATCAAAACTCCCTCCTTCATCAGAGCATATGCCGATGCCTGCTTGATATTGTCGTGTGGCCAGGATATTGATAACTTCCAACTCCTTCACTGCACAGAACTAGAACTTACTTACTTACTTTACTGGCGTAGATACCGCTTACGCGATTGTAGCCGACATGCGCCATGCGCCATTCCTTTCTTTTTTTGCTGTTCGGTGCCAATTGGAAATACCATGTACAGCCAGTTCCTTCTCCACCTGGGGTTTCCAACGGAGTGGAGGTCTGCCTCTTCCTCTATTTCCACTGGCGGTCACTGCAGCGAAAACTTTTAAAGCTGCGAAATCCTTGGCATACGGCTACTAAGAGTTAAGGAGCATAATGATATGTTGTGCAGGGAATATCTGCCGATAAAGAGCTCGAGCTGCTTTGAGAGGCCCGAGTTATATTGGCACAAATAACGTTTGGATTGTAGACGACTTTATTTCTACACAACGTATATTCTGCATGCAATAGGACTCCTGCTGACGCTAACCACCTCTTTGCATGCTCCTTAAACGTATTCATCTATCCCCCCTCTCCCTCTGATCTGATCTGAGCCCATCGTGAATAGCCCGCATCTTGGACCTCCGATTGGATGACCTCTATGACTTAGACTAGTCTCGCCTACTTCTAAGCGGGGTTGAATAGCAACACCTACGAAAATTTTCTTTTGTTTATTATCATATTGCCTTCCCAGGGTCTCAAAAATATGCTTCGGACACATGAAACGTTTGACCCAAGATGAAATGGAAGAGCAAATATTCCGCAGCAATATTACCTCGGTGTTTCTGTTCTTCAAAGACTGGCGTTGGGAGTTGATGTTCATGAAACAGCCGGATTTTATGCTCAAATACAGTGTGCTCGTGTCCTACATAACGCTCTTATGTGCATTCATCATGCAAGCTGTCAACACGACGTGAGTTAGAATTGTTAAATTATTTATTATCCAAGCAACTTCTTTAAACAAAATGATGATTTTCGATAGACAAACCCTGGCATTTTGGACACTGGTTGCCGTGAGTAATGCCCTAATGGTAATGCTGTTGGCTTTGGTCTGGTACAAGAAACTGTGGATAATGTTTGTGAGCAAAACTGAGGCCTCGAAACCGAAACAAAAGATTAGCAGATGGTTTTACAAACTCTCCGATGGCATTCAGCGGAACATCATTGTACGCAGCACCATCTACGTGGCCGTCATAGTATTGCACTCAACAGGCATTCTATTGCAATTGGTAGGTGGAGCAGTACTGACTTTTGGTCTTTGAAACGATCAATGCTAATATGATTTCCCCCCAGTTAGATTGCAATAAGCATGCAAGTGTGGGTGAGCCCATGATCGGTGCTACAAATGAGACATCCTGTTTTAATGCTTGGGTAAGTCAACGCTCAGTTGACCAAAGACTTAGCTTAGCTAAAGTTGTGACACTCTCGTTTTCAGGCCGTCACCGAATGTTTTATGCTCAGCATTTGCATTACCTTCCTTTTCACACGCATTCCATTCGTACTGAAACTGGGCATTGGCATAGTAACGCTGATTTTTTACACGGTTGTGGTAACCTTGTCGTATAGCTTTGTGTACGGCCACAGTTTGAGCACCAACGATACTTTGTATCCGGAATACTCGCACATCTTTGTGATGTGCATAACAGTGGGCATATTCCATTTGATGGATCGACAAACGGAGTTCATAGCTAAAGTGGACTATAAGTGCGTGCTTTAAAGTAAGAATTGATTTAAAATATTTATTGTTTATTCTTGAAAAAAAAAAATATTAGCTGGAAACGACAACTACACAAGAAGCAGGATGATGCTAAATTCACTAACGAGACGATATCCATTCTGATCAATAACATCCTGCCATCACATGTTGGTGAGTAAAATATGAGCGTGGATTTATGGAATGGTAAGGTGCTTCAACCTCGGGTATAAACTTTTATGAAGAGAAAGTTTTTCTGATTCTCTTGGTGTTCTTAGAAAGAATTTTTCTTATTTTTTCATTATTTTTTCTAATTCTTCTTAGCCGATATTTACATGTCCCGGCAAATGACGAATGAATTGTACTATGAGGAGTATGATAATGTCGCTGTTATGTTCGCCACAATACGAAATTACGACACGGAACAAGTGGGCATACGAGTTTTGAATGAGATTATTTGTGATTTTGATGAAGTGGTAAGTGAAATTTCGAATTTACGATTCACAGACGCTCTCCGTTGCCAGCAGAGTAGTGGTCTTCCTATTGCTCTGCTTCCACCAGCTTTTTAGAATTGAAGTGTCGGAATCTCTTCGGATGCCGAGATCATATTAGGTCAAGTAAAAAGTTCGTATAGCACGAAAGTGGTTTGCTAGGATCCGTTCCGGTAATTTCGATGTCAAAAATGCACTAAGCGTCGGGAGGCCTGTTCTCGAAAATTGCGATAAAATCATGGAAATAGTGTCAACAGACCGTCGCGTGAGCACTTATTTAATTGCTGAGGAACTAAAGATAAGCCAGAAAACCATTTGAAACCATTCGCATAACCTTGGATTCAAAAAGAAGCTCGATGTTTGGGTGCCACACGAACTAACGTAGAAAAAACATGATGGACCGAATTTCCATCTGCGAATCGCTACTGAATCGCAACAAAATCGACCCGTTTCTGAAGCGGATTGTGACTGGCGATGAAGAATGGGTCACTTAAAACCTCGTCGAGCGCAAACGGTCGTGGTCAAAGCTCGGGAAAGCGGCCCAGACGGTGGCCAAGATCGGATTGACGGCCAGGAAGGTTTTGCAGTGTGTTTGGTGGCATTGTCAAGGAATCATCTACTACGAGGCTATGGCCAAACGCTTAATTCGGCCCTCTACTGCCAAGAAATGGACCGCTTGAATGCAGCACTCATTCAGAAGAGGCCATCTTTGATCAACAGAGGCCGAATTGTGTTCCATCAGGTTAACGCCAGGCCACACACGTCTTTGGTGACGCGTCAGAAGCTCGGATGGGAGGTCCTAATGCACCCACCTTATAGTCCGGACCTGCCATCAAGTGATTACCATACTTTCTATCCATGACGAAAGCGCTTAGTAGTGAGAAGTTGGCCTCAAGAGAGGCCTTTGAAAATTGGCTCTCCGAGCTTTTTGCCAACAGGGACGCAGCCTTCTACGTATAATGAAGTTGGGAACAAGTTTACGAACAAAACGTCGCTATTTGACTTGAATCGGACAAATGTAGACAAAATTATCATATTTTGAAAAATCAATCAAAAACCGAATGAACCTCTTACTTGACCTAATATGTGAACTTTGCCAATGTCAACGTATATCTTGTACAGACCACCGTTCTATTGTCAGCAGGTTGTAAATGAACAAAATAACTTAATATGCGTTAGATTTCAAGGCTGGCGTTGTTGTTGGGGTTGATGCTGGTTTCAAGATAGGCGAAATCAATGTCTTTATTAGCGTAGACACCGGTTACGCGTTTATAGCTGAATGATCAACAGTGCGCCATTCCCTGCTTCTGTTTGACGTCAATTAGAAATACAAATTGCATTCAGATTCTTTCTACCTTATCTCTCATCTACCTATGCCTCCACCGTCGGGTACTGTAACGAAAGTTTTCAAAGCTGTGTTCTCATCTATTCAGCACCACATTGTAAAGCCGCTGTCATATGTCTTATAAGTTGATCGGTATTCGCTACTGCTAGTGACATCATACATCGTTTGCAAACCCTCTCTCTCGTAAGCTCCTAATACTGATTAATCAGTTTTCCGGCAATGATGAGGGACTTGTAGAGTTTGGTCTTTGTTCGTCGAGAGACGATTTTACTTTTCAAATGCCTACTCAGTCCAAAGTAGCCCCTGCTTGCAAGAGTGGTTATGCGTTCCATGGCTTACATTGTAGTTGGTTTTAGTACTGGTCCGTAGATAGCCAAAACTGTTTGTTTAATAACAGGAGATATCAGCTCTTATTATTTTCTCCAGTATTAAGTAAAGAGGGCCTACGATACCCTGTTTGAAAGCTCCATTGGTACCAAACGCCTCGGAAGCCGTGCTGCAGTGTCTATCCCTTTCCCGTTGGTGTTATTAAAGATTTGACGCATGGTAAATAACTGTAAAAAAGCTTTAACATTTTGACTGGTCAAATTCCAGGAGTCCTCTGATATTGGCCATGTACATTGTCTTGGCCAGAACTAAAACCAACCTTTCCAGAGTTTATAGTCCCTAAAAATCTTAATCATTTTTACATCTGGCCGAGCAGTGAACTAACACCACGGTCAAATTATATATATATATATAAAAGAGAGATAGAATGTATAGATCTGGGGTATTCCAGTATTCTATGGGAAAAACTCGCAATATCTGAAGACTACAATACGGTGGTGCTTAATATGGTTTTGAAGTTCCTACGATTCTAATGGATGAAAGTCAAGCTGAGTTTCCTAGAACCTTCAAAGGATTTGATTTCAGAGCTATCCAGCTTTCTTCCAGGTATCGGTTCTATTGCATCTTAAAAGCAACTAATCTCCGTGCTCTTTCATAAACATGATTTCAAAAAGAGTGATTCATACCTTTTGATCAAAGTATTGCTCAGTATAATGTTTTATTGATCCATTCAGATTTTTTGTGATCTGCATGTTCAAAATGCTTATGTGAACTTAAAAGTCTGTCCTTACAAGCACTCTTCAGTTTGGCTCTGATATTGAAAAGGTTCCACTTAGATTGGGATAAAGAACTCTTGACAAATTAGTGCACCCTGTTGGATAGTTTACGAGGTTTATTTTACTACCTAATATTGTTTGCCGGCAACGGTAGCTGCGTGGTTAGCATTGTGTACTGACATTCGGCAGGCTCGGGTTCATATCCCGGTGCCAACAATTTCCGAAAATTATTATTATTAAAAAATTAATTTAAAATAAAAAATTAAGTTAAATTTTCTAATTGCGGTTGCCCCTCGGCAGGGTATGTCCAGCCCCCCGAGCGTATTTCGGACATAAAATAAAGCTCCTCATAAAAAAAAAACCATTAGCCGTACGAAGGCGGCTTAGTATAAACTGTAGGTCCCTCCGTTTGTTGGAAAAACATCAAGACGCATACCACAAATCGGAGGAGGAGTTCGAAGGAAAATTGCTTCAACGGTTACAAAGCGCCATTCTCCAAGGGCTGACTTGACGGAGTTCTAGCGAATTCTACTCTCAATTTTTAAGGACTTTTATACATTTAGAGACGACTTCGAATTTGTCTCTTGGCTATTTGCATATAGAGAATTTCTTTTTTGGAAACTTTTCGTAAAAATACTCGTGACTCTTGACTTTTTACTCTTTGGTTTACCATCACTCCCCGAATTTACCATATTAAAAGGCACGTGGAATGATATAGAATTTTAGATAATAATTCTGACGAAGTTTTAGAAAATGGGATAAGCTTAATAATCTGCTGAGCCTGGTTCGAAATTCATATGGAATAGTCTTTTTCTGCTAAATCAAAAATATCTTTAAAATCATAATAAGGTCCCAAGTACAATACATTGCAGTAGAAGACTTAGTTCTCATTAATTTCCTTCCAGTTAAATACTTATATTGGTAAGAGAAAAGTGGAAAAGATCAAAGTAGCCGGTTGGACATATATGGCAGCTTGTGGCTTGGATCCAAAACGTTCGGAGCATCGAAAAACGCAGACGGCCTATCGCAGCTCATCCCTTTTGCCAAATGGACGTAGAAGTCACTATTGTAAGAGTGCTAAAATACATATTACATAATATATACCAAATCATTTTCTAAAATTATATATAAATTGCAGCAAGTCGGCAGCTTGACATCGATGAAGAAGCTCAAATAGAGGAAGAGCTGCCTACGACCAGCAGTGAAATTGGCGTGAATTGCATTAGACTGCAGGAATATGAGGGCCACAAAAAGAAATGTACCAAATCGGAAGAATACAATGATGTGGTGTTTGTAATGCTGCAATTCGCTTTGGAGTTGATGCGTACAATGAAATCGTTCAATATGGAGAACTTACAGTGCGAGGATGGTGATGGAGATAGAGGTGCCTTGAGAATAGGTAAATTACTGTGGAAATTTCTTTGAATTCACAATATAATTCATCATACATTTTTTTGAAGGCATTTCCAATGGACCCATAATGGCCGGGGTTGTGGGTTCTTACAAACCTCATTATGACATTTGGGGTAATGCGGTGAATATGGCATCTCGCATGGATTCAACGGGCATTGCCGGCTCCATACAGATTACACAGAATACTGCAAAAATATTGGAATCCTACAATGTGAAATGCACTTATCGTGGTCTCACATTCGTTAAGGGACGTGGTCATATACCCACGTATATTGTTAACGTCGATGAATCGTTAAATTTTGTCAAAATCCATGATGAGAATGCCATAAGCAGAGAGACCATAAGTATTATTGAAGAGGAGACGGCGGAGTGCTGAATGATTAAATTGTATTATTTATAGATTATAAACTTTATTATACTACATATGTGATTCTACAAAAAAGTTATTTGCTAGTCAATAAAATATTTTAAATAAATTTGCAGTTTGTATGCCTGGCTGGGAGTTTCCAAATGACCTGGTCGTTAAATTTCAGAAAAACATGCTTTCTCGGTTTAGAAATTGTAAGACATTTAACCCTTTCTTTATTTTTGCTCTGACTGTGCTTTAAATTAAGCTTTTCATATTGGCGATCTGAGATACTTGATAAAGCGGATTAGGTGGCAATAAGTAATGACGAGTGAGGGAGTCTATTATCTACTATTTGACAGATCAGATGTGAGAAGAACTCACCTCAAAATCTGTATTTTTGAATGATCGATTCAACGGGTATTGCACCTTAAAAAAACTAATTTCGTAAATTCTCGAAAATGAGAATCTGAATAAAATGAAGATATTTGCAATATCAAATCCGTTGTTCTCAAAAATCCAGTATCACTAGCTCACCCATCCTATTCCAAACTTTCATACCATTTACTTCAGCTTTTGTTATGTAACCAAATTTTAGATAAATTCCTCTATAAATCACATTTGTATTTAAGGACGTTCGTAAATTTCGTAATTTTTTTCGTCGTACTAAATTTCTCACTGGGTGTAGCGCCCACCATAATTCTCATTAAACGTATCTCACAAAGGTGCATGAGTAATTTTACATCAATCTGCTTACAATTTGCTAATAACTCTAATTTCAAAAAGGCTAAAACTGAGCTTAATTATGTCTCAATTAAATAATAGAATGCCTGTGTGAACAGCATTTTATTGAAACAAAGCTCAATTGACAATTTTCCTATCGAGACGGAGATCTAAATTTGATATTCTTTAGCAGCTTCGAAATACCACCATTTGGAGGGGCATGGTTCGAGTCCTGAGTCTGACTGAATTATTTAAATAAAAACAAAGTTTTCTATAATGAAACGTATAAAAATATCTCATTAAAAAATTAATTCTAAAAAATAATAATTATTGTAATTGTTTTTCGAATTTTGCAATTAAGTATTTGACCATTATTTTTATTATTGAATTCTTATTCACTGACAGTGGAGAGATATTTCGACTCGGTCGATTCCGTCTGCTAACTTGTAATCGAGGCCTAAAGAGTTTAAATATCCCAAACAGTCAAATACGGTGCCTTAAATCAAACAATTATATAATCCTTACTTAGTTACAGAGATGGACATTAAAAATTGTTATCGAGTTGAGATCGAACAGCTCTAGTCAGCCACCTAAGCATTGCTCGACCTTTCTCCAATTCGTTACATCACCCCACGCTTGGATCTCTTCGACTGGGGTTTCCCATTAAGGTCGACTTCCATCGAATTAAGCAACGAATATCTTCTTTGCTGGAGTTCCAGCGCAATCAATAACGATGTAATCGCAGAGCATGTTCAATTCGTGGTCCATCCGAGTTCAATAGTTGCCTTCAACGGAAACGGCACCGATGATTTTGATAAGTAGTTCTCTCTCGAACACTCCAAGCGCTGCTGCAGTTTTCTGCATCACATGAAAGCATGGCAAAAATGAGCTTCTTGTCGGTCAATCAGCAGAACCTGGCACATTTGCTTTGTGGTTCTTTAGTAACACCAGGTGGACATCATTAAAGCTGTCTACGGCGTTGCCAAGTGTATAACTTGGAAAGTATATGTGATTCATTTCGCGGTGGAAAGCTGTTCTTAAGCGGCATGTAGTTTATTTCACCCACGCTTAACGCCACACATATATCTGCCAAATCTTTTTCAACCGCAGATAATACAAAAGTGCTAGTTTGATTGTTATTATAGCATATTAGCAGCGCTGATAGTGGCTGAGCTAGCGACAAGATGGCGTACAAGCGAACCCTAATCGACAAAATGATGACGTGTGTCGAGCTCTTTTCCGTGGGTATTTTTCAGCAATTGGTATTATGTGAAAATCTGATACTACCAAACAGCAGCTGCTTTGATTCTTCGCATAGTACGCTCCTTAGAAGCTTGTATGAGATAGCAATTAGACTGATTTTCCGGTAATATACGCGTATCCTCGTTTCGCCTCGCTGCGGAATGCACCTAATGTACCAATAATAGCTGGTGAGCTGGTCTTTGTTTGATGGTATTGCTACCTCTAGAACGGGATTGCTGAAGTGATCACTTGCAAGCAGATCACAGAAAAGCTCCGTCCATAATTTCAGTGCGCACTGCGTGCTCGTGAAAACCTGAGATCCTCGTTGAAATAAAAACCATAATTCTGAATAGGGGAAAGCGATGGACGTTACCTAACAAATATTTCCGTACAAGTTCGAAATAAGGAATCGATGGATATAATTTTCGATCCTACTACTGATATATTGTTCTTTTTTTGCCCTGTCGTAAAGCTAGTGGTGTTGTTGAGAACTTCTCTCTCTAACTCTATTTAGCTCTCTCTCTCTCTCTCTCTAACTCTATTTAGCTCTCTCTCTCTCTCTCTCTCTCTCTCTCTCACTTTTCATCTCTTTCTCCCTCTCTCTTTCTATCTCTCTCTCTAACTTTTCATCTCTCTCTCTCTCTCTCACTTTTCATCTCTCTCTCTCTCACACACTTTCCATCTCTCTCTCTCTCTCTTTTTCTCTCACTTTTCATCTCTCTCTCTCTCTCTCTCTCACTTTTCATCTCTCCCTCTCTCTCTCACTTTTGATCTCTCTCTCTCTCTCTCTTTCCATCTCTCTCTCTCTCTTTCTCTCACTTTTCATCTCTCTCTCTCTCTCCATCTCTCTCTCTCTCTCTCGAGATTCGTAGACCATTGTTCAATCAAGGCTTTTTGGAATGTTTTTTTTTTTTGTTTTGTCAGCTTTAAATATTTTATATTTTTATTATTTATTCGATATACATACATACAGAGTAATTCATGAATACATCCAACAACACTTATGGATATTTGCATTTTCGCCTTTAAATACATGTATGTATATGTATTTATATCGGCATATTTATATTATTTTATGTACATACATATGTATTTGCAAGAATGCATGTACTAAATATAGTAAATAGTATACAGTTTTAAGGTAAAAAAATTTATCAAAACTTTTTGAACTAAACCAAAATTTAAATATTTTTTAACTCTTTACTGATTGTTGTATACATTTATATGTATATGTGTGTATGTTGGTATAAAGCGCTTTGGAAAACCTTAAAAAGCACCACAGATTTGTGCTACATGTACATATGTATAAGCTATTAGATATATATATATATATATATATGTAATTATGTAGGTATGCAAATGTATATATAAATTAAATTATAAATATGTATATATATATGTATGTAAAAAAAAGAAAGAAAAAATTAATTAAAAGCGAAAAATACTTAATTTAAGCACCGAAATTTTCAAATGAATAAAGCACAAATAATAAAGCAAATGCACACATATTTACATAATTATTTATTATGTATATATGTACATACACATTTTTGTCATTGTATATAATAATGTGCGTTTGTTTACAAAATCTTTATGTATAATCTATAAAATTCATACACAACCCATCACTGTACGCTTTTCAAACGAAATTATTTGCAAATTCGTAAATTTGTTTCGTTGTCTTCTTAGTACTGCACATAGCATAACATACATATATAAAACATATAACATAAAATGTAGAAACATTTAAAAGAAAAGAAAGAACTTTTCGACTATAATGTGTTTTTTTTTCAATATTTCCCCCTCATTTCGCTCCCCAATTTCAGATTTATTCATTAACGCCGGTCAATAGCACAGCATCCTCCGGTAGAGGTTTCCGTTTATAAGAGCCCTCGGTGACCAAATAGACAACTAATGCGCCAAAAATCACATACAAACAGCCTAAACTGTTGGCCATAACGCCAGAGCTCGAGAAAGATGAATAATCGGATCTGGAAAAAATTAATAATTAGATTAAATAAACAAAATTTGTTTGAATGAAAAAAAACTCACATAGAGAATAAAGCCTTTTCGGTAATACCCATAAGCGCACTCGCTATAGCCAAAACGAAACCGAAGAGACCAAAGTAAATGTGCAGTGGCATGTAGGCCACCTTGAGGGCCTGTCGCCAGCCGGGTGCCAAGTATGCCGTAAATCCTGCTACATACTGTAAGCCGAATACGATCACAGCGCCCATACCGATCCACGAGTGCAAGGAATACATGTTCGGTATAGGTGGAACGGGCAAGTTGTGCGAGTCGAAGACGGTAATCAGGGCAATTACAGTAAGTACAAAGGCGGTCAAGTGAATGCCGGCATGTGCGAACTTTAGCGTCTTCTTGCGTACGTTGCGGAAACCACGGTAGACCAAAATAGCTGTGAATTAAATAAGAAATCGGTGAAAATTTACACAAAACTTAATATTATGTTGTTGTTTAGTTTTTTTAGCTATTTCTGTGAATGGCTCTGAATTTAAAACAATGGCTTTTATAAGCGCGGCTCACATCGCTATTTTAAAATCATGCTAGACAATCACTAACTCATTATATAGACAGCGAAGCGGCTTGTATCCCTGCTGTCTGAGAACACTCACCAAAATCTCGACGGATATCTGAAGTTCCATGTATATCAGCCAATGAAATCATCGGTTCTCGCCAAGAGCGAGAGGAGAGGATAAGAATTGGAGAGAAAAAAGCCTGCCTACCTCAAACCCAACACGCGTTATGCTGAGAGAGATGACGTGGTTTGAAGAGATAAGTGTGACCGATTGCACACTGAAAGATAGAAGCGAAAATGAGTGATGAAAGAAGAGCTTGAAAAGCTGGCCGATCAGGTTCATGGTCGAAAAATGTGTGTATAGAAGCGGCAAATTTTAGAAGATTACAAGACCGGAACAAAATCATGCAGGATCCGAAGAAGTAATCTAGTGATTGATGCTGAGCCAGCTGAATGGTATTCCCAATCGATCTCGGAGGAGAGGTTCCATTATGACGAAGTTCGAATGGCAGCTTAAAGAATAACAATGTGGTGCGGAGCCGATGGCTTACAGGGTGAGCTATTGAAATATGGAAACAAAGGAAGAATAAGGTGGATGTGAAGACATCTCTTCACTTACTTCACTTGGAGTCTCAGCCTGATAATATCTCGCTCAAAATTTCATAAACGATGCCTACATCAAATACGGCCGTCGATACCGATTTTCAAAGAAAATATTACTCAGCGATGAAGCTCGCTTTTTGTTGAAGTGATGATAAGCCATAGGTTATAGTTGAGACCCGGCTACATCTTTAAAAAATCACTACCTGGTGTGGTATATGGACAGAGAGAAGAATCGGTCAAGCTGTAAAGCCGTGATTAATGACTTATTCCACGGCGCTGCATGTCATACCGCGCACGAAAGAATCAATATGTCAAAAGAAATATTTTATTAGCGTATCAACTTGCCTCATGGGTCTGTGACGTGCCCTGCCCGATTGGGTGATTTAACACCATTGAACTATTTTTTGTGGAGTTATAGTTGAGACCCGGCTACAGCTTTAAAGTCGAGACGATTAACGCCTTGGAAAAGAATATTCGGCACGTTATTGCTGACATACCGCCTCGAATGCTGCAAAGGGTGGTCGAAACTTGTGCCTCTCGGCTGGAATTTATTCAAGCCAATCACGGCAATCACTTGTTCGAAAACATTTTTAAAACATTTGTAATCGCTGAAGCGATTTTCGACCGAGTTCCTGCTCCAATTTATGGTGTGCGTTTTGAGAAAGCTACAGTTTATACTAAGCCGCCTCCGAAGCGCTGCTGATTCTTTATGAGGAACTTTCATTTCAGTTCATAAATACACTCGAAGGGGCGACCATATTACACCTCTCCGACAGCAAATTGTCTAAAGAAACAACAAGCGTTCTAGTATTTCCGTTTGTTATTATTCATTGGTCTACAGCTGTTTGAAAAGCAACGTTCACTAACACTTTCACATACATAGATAATCTTCTATGTACTTCATACATTTTGGCAGCTACTAATGCATTGATGAGCTTCTACATATTTATGCAATTATGCTACAAATCACCGTAAGCTCACTTAAGTATGTTGGCGTTAACCATAATTTATTTAATATATATTTATACATTTAATGGGCGTATAGGAGTATTTCTATGCCGCCACTGTACTGTGTTGTGCGGTACTGTTAGATTCGTTAGGTGTGTACTTACAATTGCCATATAAGAATATCAGGCCGATTGTCATAAATAGCGGATGCCAATTGAATTCGAGTTTGGGATTGGCGGTGCCGCCAACGCCGCCCAAATGTATGCCAACCCAACAGCTAACCAAAATGATCATCGTCAAACCGCATAGTTGCGTTACCACATACAAGACTTTGAAGTTAGTCAAAGTGGCGTCCTCATCCATTTTACCTGTAATTGCAGATAATTAAATTAATCATTAATACAATCATAAACATAATAATAATAATAATAATAAGAATAATAATATTTAAAGAAAGAATGAAAGAGAAAATTCATTTGTGAATACATACATACATACATACATATATAGAGCTAGTATTATATGTAAATATTTCTTTGTATGTTCTTCGGTCAAATTAAAAAAGAAAAATGACTCTAAGTAAATAAATACATATACGTGGCGATTAACAAAAGTTCGTTAAGTAGATCAGAAAAAAAAATTATTTTTATATTTATTCGTATTCTTTACCCTTTTTCATCTTCTCTACTTAATCGCCATAGATTTCAATGCCTTTTCTGAACCTATAGATCCACTTCTGAAAACAGCCTTCAAAATCTTGATTTTTAGGCTAATCAAGTTCAGCATTAACCGCATTAATTATTTCCTCGTTGCTATTAAAGACCTTTCCTTTTATTTACTTTTTTTTTTAATTTTTGGTAATAACCATAAATCAAAAGGTGCCTTATCCGGGGAGTACGGTGCTGGATGTATTTCTTCGATCCCAGAGATCGCATTGAAATTACACGTTATTTCAGCCGTGTGGGATGTCGCGTTGTTATGAAGTAAAAAGTAGCACCGCTAATCCTCCTTCTTCCTGTTTTCCAACAAATCTTTGAAAACTTTTGGTAAGCACACTTCGGTGTAGCATTTTGCAATTACCTTCCGACCCTTTTCCAGTGCAATAGTTGCCCCGGTTTTAGATCGGGTGAAGTAAACTGACATCATTACTTTCGCTGATTAATTTTGTTGCTTAGATTTTAAAGGTGGGTTTGCTCCTATTGGGCTCCATACCATGGACTGTTGTCCGGCTTCTGCAACGTACTTATAGAACCAAGATTCGTTAGTAGTAACGACTTTACTGAAGTTGCTGGCCTGACCATTTCCTATTGGGCTCCATACCATGGACTGTTGTCTGGCTTTTGCAACGTACTTATAGAACCGAGATTCGTTAGTAGTAACGACTTTACTAAAGTTGCTGGCCTGACCATTTCCGAATTTTTTTAGAAAAAATTGAACAAAATGCACTCGAGACTCTTTTAGAGCCTCATTTAAAATTCAATGTACACATCGAATGAATTTCTTCGTGTATCACAGCTGATTACTTAATATTCACGATCCATGGCTTTCGAGCCCAATTTATTAGTAATCATTTCTTGTGTCGAACGTGAGTATTTCTCAATTTTTGACCAATTTTACCAGAGCTATAGTGCCGTCATCAGTGGTAGATTTTGGTTGACCTTCTCGTGGCTCGTCCTCTATGGAAGTATGCCCGGTCTGAAATCTTCGGAACCACTTACAAATTGTCTTGGCGACGGTGCAATAGTTCCATATGCAATTTGTAAGTCACTGAATATTTGTATTGGCTGTAAATTACGCCGAAACCCGAAGAGAATCGCAAGGTGAATTTCTGTTTGCGTTGGTTGTGGTATTTCGTCTGACCTATCCTCAGCTAAACCGATCGTTTTAAAATCTTAAAGGAAGACTACTAAAGGAATTGCAAGGGATTTGGTATTTTTAGATTTAACAAAAACAAATTGAACGTCACCTCACCAACTGACCGAACTTTTGTTAATCCCCTCGCACATATGTATGTATATTCGTATACAGTTATTAATATAAATATTAATTTGTATGTTTTTCGTCAAATTAAAAAAGAAAAATTAATGTAAGTAAATGGATTTACGTATATGCATGTATGTATATATACATATATATATATATGCATAAGTATGCACTTGTATTTATTTACAATTCTATCGTGTTATGAAAATTGGAGCATTGAAACGAAGGTGCCACATATTTTCATCAATTACTCGTACTTTTTTTTCATATACAAACAACAAATAAGTGGCAGTCAGTGCATTGCGCTGTGGAAAGTTTCGAAAACATTTGACTCTAAATGACTAAATAAATATAAATATACGCATATATGTACATATGTAAACAAACAACAAAACCCCAAGCATACATGCATACATTTCTACAAATTTACACTTGTAACTTCATTTACGAGCATAGCTTTTCACTTGTTAACACATTTGCCAGCGCAGCACCACAGTGTGGTAGTCAATAATTTTCAAAGGGAGGGGCACCAAATTGTGATTTCAACGTTTGAAAGAAAGGTGTTTGCGCGTTACAGCTGTCTATGTGAAAGCAAACTTATTATGTATATATGTATATGTGTGTAATTGGAGCTTTATAAACGCTGTAGCGATGTTTGGTCGGACTCCTCCGCCGATTTGAGATGTGCGTCTTGACATCTTTCTAACAATTGGGGACCTATAGTTTCTTCTAAGCTGCCTACGAATGGCCAATGAATTTTTTTTTTATGAGGAGCCCTTACTTCATGTCAGAAATACACCACTAAAGGGCTTGATATTCCCTGCGGAGGGGCGAACGTAATTAGAAAAATTAACTTTCTATAATTTGATTGCTGGTCGAAGGAAGACCCGAAACCTAGACTTCCGAATGGCAGGACGCACTACTGCCCGCTTTGCCGTTGCAACTGCCACATAGTTATCGCATTGTGCAGGGTTAATCATTTTGAGGTTTTGTAATAAATGTAAATAAAATACATTCAAAACACTTTTTTTTTACTTATTTATTTATTATAAAATTTGAATTTTGGCATTATAAGGGAAACTCTACATTATTAAAATGACTGTTTCGCAAATTTTTACAAATTTCGATCCATTTAAGGCGATTTGGTACCACTTTTTGGCTAATATTGGGCAGTATCTCAGCCATAACTTGACGAATGTTGGCTTCCAAGTGCTCGGGTGTTAAAGGATTATCCGCATGATGACGGTCTTTCGGGTGGTTCGCAAAAAAAGTGGCCAATATCAGAGATTAAACAGCTAGAAAATCTCTCCCGCAATAAAGCCATATTCGCTAGAGGTGTGTGGTATTATTTTGTTGAGAAAAGTCGGTTATCATACATTAAACAATCCCTGCCCTCGAGAACGTCAAGAAATAGACGCATTTGGATCTTCGGCTATCCTTTCACTTACAGTGGCGATATTTCAGGTGGAGCAAGAGTAACGACGATGCACAGGTCTGGTCTCTTCAGATTTTCAAATACAGTTTTTTTTTTGCTTATTTTTTGACTTTATCATTTTTTTCTTTGACCCATCTCTGCCCTAAGATTTCGTGATAGGAATGATATAACTTTTGAGTCTGCCCTGATTGAGGAATGAAAGGTGCGTTATACATATAGAAGTAGTTGATTTGGGACTCTGTCCCTACTTTTTGTTTGGTTTTTGGCTTTGATTATGATAAACATATGAGGTGTGCTGAAAATAATCGAAATTTTTCAGTTTTATATCAAAATAGCATTTGGCTCTTTCAACGATGTGCTTTTGGTGCTTGCCACGTCTGTAGAACGATGGCGCTTTAAAGTTCTATTTATTTCTGGAAAAACCCACACAGAGCTATAGAAACTGGGGTCTTACTACAGTGCTGTTTTTGGTCAAAACTTTAGTAACAAACAATGACCTAAGTACAAGTTTTTTTTTCGGATGGCTTCAGTCTTGTACACGGTACTGTTTATTGGTGAAGTGAATTAACTGGTTGTTTGGGTTCCACAAATATCAACGAAAATCGATTTCACCGAACGCATTAACATATGCGACTCTTGAATTGTGAATCGTACTCACAACGACCTATTTTATAAATAATGAGGATTTTTGATGATTATGTAAAACAAATATGATCATGAACCGAGCAAAGTACACAGTGAATCCAAATTAAATACTCAGCAAAAGAGGATTATTTGGGATGTGCGGTGGAAATGCTATACCGTTAACTTCGAGCTGCTTTAAAATAAATTAAATATTGATTCGAATGCTCACTGTCGTTAACTGGCAAAAATGGCATGGAATAGAAAAGAAGAAATAAAAATAAACACCTGAATCGGCCCATCTCAAAGTCGTGATGTTTCACCATAAAGCAGCCCACATCTCTTTGCTAAATAAACAAAAATTATCCGTACTGCTATCTGGCATTACTTTCGCTCTCTTTAAACCCATTCGACTAGTGAGACTTTCGGTTCTGATTGGGTCAATAAAAATTCACGATGCAGAAGCCGGACAACAGTTCATGGTATGGAGCCCAATAGGAGCAGACCCACTCTTAAAATCTAGGCAACAAAATTAATCAGCGAAAGTAATGATGCCAATCTCCTTCACCCGATCTAAAATCGGGGCAACTATTGCATTGGAAAAGGGTAGGAAGGTATTTGCAAAATGCTACACCGAAGTGTGCTTACCAAAAGTTTTCAGCCCACACTACTTAAATAGCGAGTAATTTTATTGCGATCTCTCGGATCTCTTTCGCTTATAAAAAGCAAAACTTTTTTGAGAGTAAAATTTTCAATTTACCAAAAGATGGATAAATAAATTAAAAAAAATCTTTGTTGTTGTTGTAACCGCAAAATATTCCCCAAATTGGTTAACGGGGAATATTGCGAGTCCTACAGACCCGACTGTCGCGGGAACTAATGGATTCTAGTCGCCACTTAAGACAGGCAAGCTTTACCATGAGCCCCTAACCAGCAGGTGTTGAACAGTGTTAGCTTAAAAAATTATATATAAAAAGATGCTTTGAAAAAACAACGTTATATGTAGTTACACAGCCTCTAACTTATGGTAATAAACTTAAAGGGGGCTTCTCATCAAGGAACCATATTCAACAAATTCGTATAAATTACTTTCGTAAAAACGCTGTTTGGAACTTCAATGGAGACAAAGCAACTTGGAAGCTTTTAAAACTGAGACCGAGATTGCTACCTTGAGGAACTTCTGAAGAGATATCAATTAATTGAGTTCAAAATATAACTGATTGTGCTCTCTTACTGAGATAAGAGAAACCCCCATTTATTTATTTAATTATTTTTATTATTAAAACGAATATATAAATGTATAGAGATGTTTGAGCAATTTTTTGGGAT